ATCATCTCTGCCTCCATCTCAGGCATCACTGCTTCTCTGGGTAGGGTCCCGCTCTCTGCTCTTCTCCCTTGATGGTCCTAGGGACCTCCGCACCTAGACTGAAAAGTTAATCACTCCCCTCCTTGTTATAAAACGTCTACCTTTACATTTCTGACCCTCACAATCAGTCCGATAACAATTACTCACTATTGTAACTTCATCCTTTTAAGACTTTAGGCTGGAAATCACTCTCCTTCTTGTCTGTCTTTCTCACCCTACGTTTTGTTAGCAAATCTCTTTGGATGTACCTAGAACACATAATCTGAATCCCACCACTTTTACCCTAACGTCCTAGTCCAAGCCAACTTTGTCCTTGAGTGAATGCAGCTCTTGGGATCTTAAATACCTAGCAGCCATTGGCTAACTTACTCCTCACAACAGCCCTATGGGATAGGTAGCTGATGGTCTCATTTTACATTTGAGGAGGTATGAGGCACAGAGAGATCATGCAACTTGTCAGCTGTTGGCAGTGGCTTCATGGCTGATCTCTTTGTGTCCCTCTTTGCTCCTTCATAGTCTGTTCACACAGGCCAAATCACATCAGTTCTTTGCTCACACCCTAACAGATTCCCATCTCAACCAGTGTTGGAGTGAGAGTCTTTACTCTACCGGATACTGGGAAGTTCAGACTCCTCTCTGACCTTATACCCTACCCTCTTTCCGATTCCCCCCTGCCCACCTCTAGCCACACCCAGCTGCTTGGACTCAAAACAACCTACTTGTGCCCTAGGGCCTTAACACTTCCTCTTCCTTCATTCCAGACATCCTCTTCTGTCAGGATGTCCTCAGGACAGCATCTTCACTCAGGGCTCTGCTTTGAAGCTATCTTATCAAAAAGATTACTCTGCTCCCTAGGAGCTAACATCTCCCTACTGCTAGTCTTCTCTTGCCACATCTGTGGGTTCTACTCTGTTTTTCTCTGTAACCCTATTGCCACATGATCCATTATATAGCCTATTGTTTGTTGATGATCTGTCTCCAGCCATTAGCATGTCAACTCCAAGGGATTGTTTTTCAAAACAAATCCACAATGTATCTACTTTTTAGTAAGTTTAAATCCTTGAAGGGGGTACAAGGATTCTGTATGTAATACCTTCACAGGAAGGTTTCAGAATTTGGCACAAACCAAGCTGTTTCCATGGGCACAAGTTACCTTTCCTGAGATTCCTGTGGTTTTGTTAGGTTTGCTGCCAGGAGCCACTGTTGCTCTTTGTGTTGTACACGTAAGCTCATCTCTAGTCTACATAGAATTTGGTTTCATCTTGGGCCTAAGCACCTTCCATTTTCAGAAGAGCTGTGTGCTACCTCTGGTTCCGGAGACTGCAGAGCCAGCAAAAATGGCCTCGGACCATAAGCTTCCAGACATATCTGCCAACTTGGAAGTTCTCTTCCCAGCAGACTTCCACAGGCTCCAAGAGGGTGGACGGAGATGGCATGGGGCTACATTTTCATTGCTTTATCTTTCCTGCCTAGAGTTTTTAGTAAATATTTGTCAAGTAAAAATCTCAAAGGCATAGTGAGCATATTGTACATTTAACTTATGTGAGGCTTAAGCAGTCCAGATAGATTCTTCCAAAAAAGAATGTCTACATTCTGGGGCTGCTCTTTGGGCACTGAGAGCCGATCAGTTTTCCATACACAGTTTGTTTTACGTCACTGATCCTCATCCCCACAGTGATGTAACATGGCTCCTCCCACTTCCTCCCCTCACCTTCTGTTTCCATTCCTCCTTTTCCTAACCTTTCTGAACTTTGTCCTTGGGGAAATGGGGTAATGCTGCACTTGTGACCTCAGTGGTGGATTCTTGTAAGGAGTGTTTACCTCCCTAGCATGATCATTCCCATTTGGCCGAAAATGGAGCCACGGAGGGGAGTTTGTTTCCAGACCTGAAGGGTCCAGTCTCAAGGGTTCTACCCGTATCTGTCTGACCGGTAAGACTTTGCTTCTTGCTGTACTCACATTTACATGTAAGGGAATGTGTCACTTGGCAGGAAAGTCACATCTGCTGAAAGCCATTGTCCATCATGAGGAGTCCGTGAGGGAGGCCAGCCTGTGCACGAAACTCCGCAATATTGAGGTGCTCCAGAAAGTGCTCTCTGCGGCGCAACAGCGCTCTCGGCTCAAGCAGTCTCAGCACCAAGAGGAGGACGATCTGCTGAACCTAATCGATGCTCCTGACATTGTTTGTGAGTGACTAAGGCTGTTTGCCTGGCGCATGTGCTCCGTGGCCTGTGTGAGAGGCAGATGTGCTCTGGGTACACACAGTCTATTTGCTCACCCTGCAGGGGTTGGGACTCCGACTGTGTGGGCTGGGCACTGGGAGAGCTGCAGAAGGGAGTGAGCAAGGTACTACTGATGCTCTGGAGTTCTTATCTCATAACTCTCCAATCCAGGGCTTCGTTAGGGTGTTTGTCTGCAGCATTTCCTTTGTGGCAATGGATGAACACCCTGCCATCTTGGTTCCATTTCCATCTCTCTGAGTCCTCCCACTCCATCCCCATCCCCTTTGCTCACTGTTCTTCTGGCCCTCTCCCAACCTCCCCTGCTGATATTATCAAGGGGTCCATATGTTCTTTCCTGGTGGACTCTTCCTTAAAGCCTCCTGACCTCACCTCTAGTCAGAAGGCTCTTGAAGTTTCATGCTTAGCCTCGCTGTCTCTGTGAGTCCACACCCACCCACATTGCCAGCTTTGGGACATGGCACATAACTGTCTGTCGTTTACCTCGAATTCTAGTTTTAACACCAAATGCATCCTTATTCCTTTTCCCAGCCAGCCTGATTCTTTCCCATTTGCTCCATCTTTTATCACCACTAGCACTGGTAGTGTAGTGGTTACGAATCGGACTGCGAACCTTAAGGTCAGCGGTTCGAAACTACCAGCTGCTCTGCGGGAGAAAAATGAGGCTTTCTACTCCCGTAAAGATTTACACCCTCGGAAACCCTATACAGGGTCACTATGGGTCGGAACCGACTCGATGGCACATAACAACAACAACAGCATTCACAAACATCTCCAAGGTGCTGACCACTGTCCTGGGCTCTGGAGGACAGACAGAAACCAACCAGTTACGACTACCCTCGGGGAGCTGGTGGTGGTGGTCTTCCTGGGAGGGCAGGAGTGAGAGGTCTCTCTTGAGAGGTGATTTTGCAGTGAGGAGTGGCTAAGATCTTTCCAGAAGGAGTTGGGATGCGGATGGGGTGGACATAATCCAGTTGAGAGAACCACCTTTGTATGTGTCACCTTCCCACCTCCTTCCTATACTTCTAGCCTCAGTCTCTGGATTTCTTCTTTAAGTTTTACAAGTCAGCTCCTTAAAGATAGATTTTTACTTAAGCTAGAATCCTGGTTTCATTGTCTAACAATGGTTGTTGTTGTTGTTATGTGCCGTGGAGTTAGTTCAACTGATAGTGACCCTGTACAGGGTTTCCGAGGCTGTAAATCTTTACAGGAGCAGAGAGCCTCATCTTTCTCCCGCAGGACAGCTGGTACTTTCGAACTGCCAACCTTGAGGTTAGCAGCCCGACTCGTAACCACTATGCTACCAGAGCTCCTAGTAAGTAATATAATAAAGCAATAGTAATGCTGAAAGAGCCTTGTTGGCACAATGGGTTAGGCATGGGGCTGCAAGTTTGGTGGTTCAAACCCATTGGCTGCTCCATAAGAGAAAGACAAGGCAGCCTGCTCCCACGAAGTCTCAGAAAACTGAAGGAGCCGTTCTCCTGTCCTTTAAGGTCACCGTGAGTCGGAATCTACTCTCTACCAGTGGGTTTGGTTTTAGGTAGCAGTGTGGAGCATTTGGCTGGCATGACATTAAGCACTCCGTTCATGCAGAATTTCACTCAACCTTCCCTCCACTGCTGAGAGGTTGTTACTAACATCAATCTCACTTTGAAGACAAGGAAATAGAGACTTAGGGAGATCAAAGTGGTTGCCTCAGACTGGTAAATAATGGAAGCAGAACTGATGCTCAGGGATTCTCTTGCATGGATTCTGTAGCCAGCCCACCTCCTTGGACCCAGTATGCTCCGTGGCCTGGAGGAAGAGACTTCAACACCTGGGAAGGGAACCCCTGGCTCTGCCTGTCTGAGCTCAGCGCTCAGTCAAGTGATTTGTAAGAAGCCACAGGCTCATCCTGTGGGCTAGAAGGATGTGTGCTACCGTGGAAGGAGTTCTGGTGGTGCTGTGGCTTAGGTATTAGACTGCTAACCACTAGGATGTTGGTGTTACAAAGCCACCAACTGCTCCGTGGGAGAAAGATAGGCTGTCTGTTCCCATAAAGGTTTGCACTCTCAGAAACCCTATGTAGTAGGGTCACGGAGTCAGAACTGACTTTGACGGCAGTAGGGTGGGTTGGGTTGGAGCACTGCCTTGGAAGTGTTGGTCATTTTCCCCTAGACTTTTCGTTTTATGCTAGTTGTGCATGACTCATTAGCCTCCTCTGGGGTCTTTTGTTAGAAACACAACCTTTATGGTATAGGTTGGACCAGAGCCTGTCATGAATACACACATAATGCTGGTAGCAACTTGTAGCTATTGATGGACATGGTTTGGCAAAACTACTTCTCATGGTGAAATCCTCACTTTGCATATTAATAATGAAGATGGAGCCACTTTATGTCCAGGATTTTGTATTGGAAGACACAGAAGTTCCATAACTGCCAAATCCGAAACTTTTTAGAAGAATTTTATGAGTGCCTGCAAATGCAGTGTGGAGGTGGTATCTGACCTCCCCTTACTTCACCAGGGGAGACTCCAACTCAAAATCAGCCTGAGGCCAATTCCTATGAGTTGGACGTCAGACATACCTCCAACCTTCTTCATTCTCTTCTGACACCAACCATACTACATGGAATTCTGCTTTTCTGCTGGGTTCAGTAATGCATTGCCGTGGTCACACAGAATTCACAGACAATACTCAGGATTGTAGGGTTTATTAGAGAAGTGTACAGGGTCCAACTCAGGACAGAGCAGTTCTCAGGACTGAAGTACCTCCTCTCCGCCTAGCACAGGCTCCCCTCTCTTTCATCCTTGGAGGCTTCTTCCCACTCAGGCAAGTGTTACGAGCTCCTTTGTTGTTGTTGTTAAGTGCCAACAACAATTGAGTTGGTTCCAACTGATATATATGACCCTGTATAGGGTGGCACTGTGGGTTGATGTACTTACTAGACTGCAAGGTCGGCAGTTCAAGCTCACCAGCCGCTCCTCGGAAACTCTATATGAGGTCGCTATGAGTCAGAACTGACTCGATGACCCTAAACAACAGTAGGGTTTCCAAGGAGCAGCTGGTGACCTTGCAGTTAGCAGACCAATGCTTATCCTATAGCATCATACCAAATTCCTTTAGCACTGTCAATGAATGCCCACAGGGGACCCTGTTCTATAAGCCAGCCTCCTGCTTGTAGGCACTCACTGGGTCGGGGAAGCCCATTGCTCTCCATCTCCCTGCTGCTGCCACTTCATACTGGGATCTCCTGTTCTGCTCCTGACTCGCCTTTCTTGATGGTCTTGAGGTCCTCTGTTCCTGCCTCTGAGATGGCTCCTTTAAAACCCAGCAGTATGGCAAAACCAACCAATCCCCAAGTTCGAATCTTGTACAGTGTGTTGGCATGAGTGCCACCTAATCATTGGTGGGAGTTGTGAAGACTATGGAGAAAAGAGCTGTATTAAATAAATTTACTGGAGAAAGGAATTCTCCAGGGATATAATCAACTTGAAGGCAGCAGTGAATTTGTTTGTTCTTCTGGCCCAGATGCCCAATGGGAAGGTACCATTCACACTGAGCCTAGGGATTGGGCAGTGTTCCCATTCTCTGTACTGTTTGTCTAAAGCAAGTGGAAGACCAATGACTAGGAGAAAATTTTGCTTGCTCTCTCCTTCTGAGAGAAGACGGTTGCCCTGAGTTGAGGAATGAATAACTTTCAATTAAAGAAACACTCTTTTTCTTTCTTCTTTTCTAGCGAAAACTGAGCAAGAAGTTGAAATTCTACCCCCAGAGTTCTCCAAGGTGACCGTAACAGACTTCTTCCACAAGCTGGTGAGTTAAGCACTTATTTTATAATGACCTAGGTGGAAGGCTTTTAAATTCTGCAAGTTATATCTCAGAGAAAACGGCTGTGAGTGTTCTTATGGGAGCGGTGTAGCGCGTAATACCCCTGATGGTGGTATTAGTCTCTGAACAAGGTTGAATGACATCTTCAAGGACAACAGGGCAACATGTTGGATTCAACCTTCAAATGTTCTAACTAATAATGCTCTATTCCAAAGGGCCCCTTATCCGTGTTTTCGTCTAGCAAGAGGTGGACACCTCCCCGAAGCATTCATTTCACCACAGAAGAAGGGGACTTGGGTTTCACCTTGAGAGGAAACGCCCCAGTTCAAGTTCACTGCCTGGACCCTCACTGCTCTGCTGCAGTAAGTGCATACTGTTCTGGATTTGGAATCAAACTCACCAACATCTCTTCCCGGAGTCAGAGTAACAAAATACTAGCCAAGTAGCCCAAACATATTAGGGGAGCTTCCAAAAGTGCATGGAAAAATGGAATGAAAGGATAATAGAATTTTCCCACAAACTTTCTGAAGCCCCCTTGTATATATCTGGGTGACTGAATCAGGGATCAGGGTGCTCCCAAAGTAGGAAAAGCTTCATCGGAGGCACTATGCCCAAAGACAAAGGTTTTGATTTTGTTTTTGTTTTGTTTTTTTTTTGCTTCCATGTATCAAACGTTTGCAAGTATCTCTTTTGTCAGTGGTTCTAAATTTGTGTGATTCAGGAATGGGAGTGAACAAAAGCATTGACCTTTATTTAAACAATACTTTTGTAGCTGGCAGGAGCCAAGGAAGGAGATTATATTGTTTCTGTTCAAGACACGGATTGTAAGTGGCTGACAGTGAGCGAGGTTATGAAACTGCTGAAGAGCTTTGACGAGAATGGCATTCAGATGAAAGTTGTGAGCATCTTGGACTCTTCATCATCCATGGTGAGCACGGGTACCCCCTGATGACAAATCACGATGCAGGGTGAAATCAGTGTGACTCAACTGCAGAGCTCTTTACCCAGCCCTCTGCCTCCCTCCTAAATTTTGCAGCGTGCCACAAAATGGCTAAACTCCTAAGTGCCATTAAGAGTTGGGATATGCTTACCTGGGGTCAAAGAGTTGCTGTTAGCTGACGGCAGGCTAGTTCTGACTCTTACTTACTCCTTGCCCAATTGAACAAAACACTGCCTTGTCTTGTGCTATCCCCACAATCAGTTACAATTTAGACCATTGTGAGCTACTGGGTTTTCATTGGCTGATTTTCAGAAGTGGATCACCAGGTCTTTTCTTCCTAGTCTTAGTCAGGAAGCACCACTGAACTCTGCTTAGCACTGTAGCAGCAGACAAGCCTCCAATGACGGGTGGGAGGGGGCTGTACATGGGGTTCATTGACTGGGAAGCGAACCTATGTCCCCTGCATGGAAGGTAGGAGTTCTACCACCAAACCTAATTTTTTTTTTTTTTTTAAATATTTTATTGTGAATTATGTGATAGTTTGCATGGGAGAACATTAGCTTTTCATTCATCCTGTTATGTATCATTTAATTGCCATGGTTACAATCCCCTTCATGCATCATCAAACAACCAAAGGGTATACCCTATAAGCCTGCTCCCCAGTAGTCAGCACACAGCCCCTCTCCCTCTCTGTGTCAAAGAAACCTATCTGCATCTCTTTTCATCAGCCCCACCCAGACAGACTGGATACTACTCAGTGGAGATTCTACCTTCCTCCGCACCCTTTGGATCTAGGTTCCCTCTTGAAAGCTTGTAAGCCAGTCACTTCTTGCCTTTGTAGCCCCCCATTTTGGGTAGCCGATGTCCAAGTTGCCCATCCCTATCTACTCTATGTATGGAGGGGGTGGGAGTGATCTTGCTGTTCCCTCTTTTGAGCTACTACATCCATAGGTGTAGGTCAAGTTCATCAAATTGTATCTTCTTTCTTCTTCTAGTTGAGCTCTGATCATCCAGTCATTGAAGTCAGGTCAAGTGGGTCTTATCTGCAAGTCTGGGTGTTCTTGTGCATATGCCCTCTCTTCTTATCAACTGGACGCTTCACTCTCTACTCTAGTCCTCTGTGGCTATGTCACTGACTCTGGGCCCATGAGTCCCCAGGTTTTGCCACACTGCTGACTAACCAGGGTTCCACCAGGGTTCACAGGAGTCTACTGAAGGTTGTAGGGCTTAGCTCGCAGCTTCATTGTTGTTTCTCCCTCACTTCCCCTTATTGTTGATGAACACAGTCACCAATCAGAGCGTGTATTCCCATTGAGTCTTAGTCTTGGAAGGGGGGTTGCTCTGAGGGTGAACCAAATTTTTTTTAAAAGATTTTTTTTTAATTCTGTGGCTTAAATTAACAGTGATTTGATGGCCAACTACAATGTAATCCATGTTCATAATTTTTTAAAAAGTTTTCTTGGTACAGAAAGTCCTAATACAAGATGTGGAAGTTCCTCTCCACACTTCAGACGCACTGTTAGTAATTCCAGGTACTTGGGGAGTGCTTACCTGTGCAAGTTCAGGTTATTCAAGTGGAAGGTGTCATGCAGTCTTTTGCACTTAACTCACCTAATAATGTACCTTAGAACTTAGTACCTCTATAGAAACATTCATTCATTCCACAAATATTGAGCACCTGCTGTATACCAGACACTCTCTTGGGTGTTAGAGCTTCCATTTTTTGTTTTGGTGAATTGGCAGAAGGCTTACAGAGCAAATCCCTTTTCCATTCAGTGTTTCATTCACACTTTGTTTCATCTCATTGATTGCAACCCCCACAATGTTACATCATTTACCCCACTTGCTTCCCGTGTTTCCTGTTTCCATTCCTCCTCCTCTCCTAACCCTTCTGAACTTTGTCCTTGGGTAAATGCTGTCCTTGTGATCCCAGCTGGTTGATTACTGTAAGGCATGCAGCCCTCTCCAGTGTCATTGTTCCCTGTTTATTGTTTGGCTGAAAATTGAGCCAGAGGATAGTTAGAAGTTCATTTCCTGACCTGAAAGGTAATTCGGGGCTGGGGTTCCACCATAGACCTACAGTTTGAATTAGACAGATAAGCTTCTTGCCTCCCCACCAGCCTGACACTAGATAAGTAAATCAGCGGTGGTGATTTTGATTAACACCGTAAAGAAAATAAAGATGTATAATGTGCTACATGGCTGAGATTGGAGAGCGACTTCTCTATGTGGGGTTTGAATGGAGACTTGAGTGACAAGAAGGAAGCAGCCATTTGTAGTTGTACAAAAAAAAACTTTCTAAGTGAGAGGGGCTGCGGGGGGTGCAAAGGCAGCAGCAGGGATAAGCCTGTGCTGGGGGAACACAAGGCAACCTTTCAGTTGGAGCTCTGAGGGGGACAGAGGCAGGAACTGAGGCGGGTAAGGCTGCAGGTCACAGGCCTGAAGGGCCCTGTGGGCAGTGGGAGGAGCTAGGAAGCCAGTGACCCTTTCAGAAGGGGAGTGGCGTCACTTGATGTTTATTTAGAGATGCCTGCTGCCTGGAGGCTGGGCTGGTAGCAGGGAGACTGACTGAGCTGGCCAGTGATGGGGTGGGGGCGGGCTTGGGCTAGCGTGATGGCAGAGTGGGTGGGTAGGGAGAGGACTGCGCTGAGGTGGACTGGAGGTAGAACCAGCAGGGATTTATAGGTGATTTGTGTCCAGGCGATGGGAGGAGGGGAAGTAGATGACTCCTCAGCTTGTGGTTTAAACAACTTCATGCATTGCGGTTTTTTAATAACAATGGTGGTTGTGGTGTTAAGTACCTACTCATATCAACCCTGTTTAGGATTTCCAAGGAGGAGTGGATGGTGGGCCGAGAGAGGGAAAAACCCCAAAACAAACCAGTTGTGCTTTGAATGTTTTTCATTTCAAATTCTGAAAATAGTTTGTGGGAAAAGTCCACTATCTTTCCATTCCATTTTTCCACAAGCTTTTTGAAGCCCCCTTGTATATATAAGAAAGCAATTGACTTTTGCAAATTAACCTTTATCTTGCAATCTTGCCACAATCCCTTCTTAGTTCCAGAACTCTTTTCTCTTTCTTTCTTTCAGGATTTTCTTGTGAATTGAGTGATAGTTTACATGGGAGAACATCACATCGGTTTTACATTCATTTCATTGCAATGATTATAATTTCCTCTGCGCATCATCATTCAACAATATTTGCTTCTGTTCCCTTTGGGTTTTTGTTGTTGTTGTTGTATGTACACAAAAACACTCAGGAACATATAATCATTTAAACAACCAAAGGGCACATTCTGCAAGCCTGCCTCTTGGCCGCCATTTCACAGCCTTTTTCTGCCCAGGACCCTTTCGGTTGTTTGTTTTTTTGCGTCAGTTCTTTGGTAATTACTACAATCATATCATCTGCCAATAGATTTTATTTCTTCCTTCCCACTCTGCATATATGCCTTTTATTTCTTCTTGTCTAATAGCATTAGCTTGGAGTTCCAGTATAAAATCAAATGAGAGTGTGGGGGGTGGGGGGGAAGGAGGGGTACCCTTGTCTTGTAACTGATCTTAGTGAGGAAAGCACCTGGTTTCTGACCCGTGAATTAGATGTTCACTGTCCAGTCTTTGAGCCAAGCCAGTGAAGAATTTGATGTAATGAATAAAAGCAAGGGCTCTAGACTGAGACTTCCTGGGTTTGAATCCTGGCTTTTCCACCTAAAGCAAGACATAGAACGCCTCCGCTGATAGAAAATGGGAATTTGTTGTCGAATAAGCACCTCCCTCCTCAGGTGGTTGTCAAGAGTTTCAGTTAATGAAAAATCCTTCATTGTTGCCTGTGTTGTTGTTAAATACTGTGGAGTCAGTTCTGACTCATAGTGACCACCCTACACAGAGTTTCTGAGACTGGAAATCTTTACGGGAGCAGACCGCCTCATCTTTCTCCCGCAGAACCGCTGGTAGTTTCGAACTGCCAACTTTGAGGTTAGCAGCCCGATTCGTAACCACTACGCTACCAGAGCAGCGACATATTTCCATTCATAATTACAAAACAATACCAAAACCTGTGCTTCAAGTCTATTGCAACTCATAGTGACCCGATAGGATAGTGTAGAACTGCCCCCATAGAGTTTCCAAGGCTGTGAATCTTCCTGGTGCAGCAGTGTAGGATCAGCACTGGACTGCTAACCACAAGGTCGGTGGTTCAAACCCACCAGTTGCTCCTTGGAAACCTTATACAGGGTCATTATGAATCAGAACTGACTCGACAGCATTTAACAACAACAACAAATCTTTATGGAATTCAACTGCCATATTGTTTCTCCTACTGAGTGGCTGGTGGGTTCGAACTGCTGGCCTTTCGGTTAGCAGTCGCTCACTGAAACCAATGCACCACCAGGGCTCCTTCAAGTCCTAATAAGTGTAATAATAATAAAGTGATGATTGTGCTAATTCTCCTCACTCATCAAGGACTCTAGAGAATGGCAGCTAAGTACTGTTTTTAGCAGCTTTTCTCTATGTGAAGCCCCATGTTCCTCCGAATTGATTGTTACACATTGGAGAAACTCCCAGGCTTGGAATCTGTGACCTAGAATCTGGCCCTGTCTGCCCTGAACAAGCTTTGTAGCCAGCAGGTTCATATCCTCCCTGATGGTAGCATAGTGGTTATGAATCGGGCTGCTAACCTCAAGGTCAGCAGTTTGAAACTACCAGCTGTTCCATGGGAAAAAGATGAGGCTTTCTGCTCCCATAAAGATTTACAGCCTTGGAAACCCTGTACAGGGTCGCTATGAGTTAGAACCGACTCCATGGCACATAACAACAACAACTCAGTTCCCTCAGCCATGGAAGTGTTAGACTATCTGAGTGCTTTTAAACTGGGATCTGTAAAGTCCTGACTCCTGGGAAGCATGCTGGATAGGACAGGGAGAAAGAAAGATACAGTGAATGGAGTCGGGGAGGAAAGGAAGACAGCTTTCAACCGAAGTTTGGTCACGAAAGAAGGCAGACACAGTGGGGTGGGTGGTACGTGAACTAGGAGTTTGGTAAAGTCCCAGAGACCATAACTAAAACCCACTGGTGTCCAGTTGGTTCTGACTCACAGCAATCCTAGAGGACACTAGAGTCAAACTGTTCCATAGGATTTCCAAGACGCAAAGTCTTTACGGAAGTAGACAGCTGCTGCTGGGTTCAAACCATCGACCTTTCGATTAACAGTCCAGTGCTTAAGCCACAGCACTACCAGGGCTCCTTCATCCCAAACACAGGGAGAGACGCTAATAAAGCAGACAGGTGGGACACCTGAAAGATCGCTCTCAGGCAGGTGTGCTGTTTGGGGACAGATGCCATTAAAAATGAGGACAGGATAGCATGGTAGTCCTTGTGTGGCTGGACCTCAAGGTCCTCAGTTCAAACTCACCAGCCACTCCTTAGAAACCCTATACAAGGTCACTGTCAGTTGGGACTGACTCGATGGTACTTCACAACAACAACAGCAACAGGGCATCATGAGCTCATGTGCGAGGTTTGAGGAGAGAAGAGAAGGAAGGTGTGAACCTGATATCCAGAGCAGGACTGAACTTCCTGGGGAAACCTAGAGAGGTTGCCAGGGAACGGAGTATCTGCTAGAGGTTTGGAGTCAAGGTTAGAATTGTGAGGGAATCCAGCAGTTTAGTAAATGCCCTCCAGCAATGTGCAGCTGTTTGAACATGGACCTGGGAGTCAGTCAGAGGATGGGGTGTAATCAGAGTTTGCGTTTCGCCAGCTGAATGTGGACGAGGGAAATAATTGAGGTATTTGTAAGGGAATGGTTTTAACAATGCACAGCAGGCTCTAATTGGGTTAATTTTGAAACATTTACAAGCCTCCAATCTACCTCTGGAATTATTTTTATTGGTAGTGTGTGTGCCTTGTAAAGCATGTTGGAATTAATAGCCAGTTTTATAGGAAAGGGAGAGGCCTCATCCAAACCAAAGAAGGCTCTTTCACACTGAAAACCCCTTTTACGGAGGAGCCCTGGTGGTGCAGTCTTTAAGTGCTCAGCCACTAATCAAAAGGTTGGCAGTTCAACCCACAAGCCATTCCACAGGAGAATAGAACTGGTGATCTCCTCCCAGAAAGGTTACAGCCTAGGAGACCCGGTGGGGCATTTGTGCTGTGTTCTTGAGGGTCATGAGGAGTCAGCAGCACACAGCAGTGATAACCGCTTTTATTGCAGCCACACTCAACTTCCTCTTCACAGTTTTATTACCAACAGTGTGCCCAAACACTATATGAATGGCCTTTGTGTAGTGCCTGGACCACAGAAGAATGTCAGTAAACATTTGATCGATCAATCTCAATGTTAGCCCAACTTTAGAAATGGTTGCAACCCACATGCAAGTGTTTATGAAAAGAGTCTTCTCAGATTGTCAATTTGAGTTCTGCGTAATCCTTTAGAAGTCAATAGTATAGTATCTTCCTGTGGATTGTGTCATCTTTAAACAGAAGGAAGTTGATGTTAACCTACTGGTGTGGGTGGGAATCCACGACAGGCTAAGTAAAGAGAGCAGGGTGGAGAACATTGTGCCTAGTATATTCCTTTGAAGAAACAATGGAATGGACTCCTGGTGTGGCACTCTGGGATCAGCACTGGCCTGCGAACCACAAGATCGGCAGTTCAAACCAACCTGCTGCTCCTCGGAAACCCTGTATAGGGTCCCTATGACTCGGAGTCGACTCAGTGGCACTTAGCCACAACAACAGTAGTTGTTGTTGTTTGTTGTTGTTAGGTGCCATCGAGTCTGCACCGACTCATAGCGACCTTATGCACAGCAGAACGAAACACTGCCTGATCCTGGGCCAACCATAGCGACCTTATGCACAGCAGAACGAAACACTGCCTGATCCTGGACCAACCTCACTATTGTTGCCATGCTTGAGCCCATTGATGCTGCCCACTTGGCCAATCCATCTTGTTGGGGGTCTTCCTCTTTTTTTCTGACCCTCTA